TGAATAATTATTCAACCCTTTTTTTCCCTTTTTTTTTTTTTTTTTATTCCCCATGGAAGTTGTATTATATAACGATAAAATCACATTAAGTTTACCAATAATTTTAAAGTTCAAAAAATATCAGGAAAATTTATGAGCACATGTTTGAAGATAATATTTTGTATACGACGTAGCCTCTATTTGACAATCATTATTTGAAAACTCTTTTTTAATATTTTTTCATTTTCAATCACGTATTAACATAATAAAATATTTTGCAGGTAAACCCAAAACTTTTTCTAAAAATGACCATTCAAAATAATGTATTTTCCAAATAATAGCCATCAAACTGGAGCTTAATTTGAAAAATGCACACGAGTACTATAGTTATTCGAAGTTTCAAAGCAGACGGTGCAACTGATTACTAAGGCCAAAGGTAGCAGATTTGGCAACTTGAGAGAATGCGGCACGCTTACAACAACATTCGGGATTAAGAATCTAATTTCTTGGAATAAAATTATTAAAATTTAAAAGAATGGCAACGATAGAATGTCACAAATGTAGAACAATAGAACCTTACAGGTTGAAAAATTTTCACCCCCAAATCTTCATCTCACAAGAATATGTAATCATAAACAGATACAGGCTGGTGGAGCCACATTTGGGCAAGGGTGGTCCACTGACCACCCAAAATTTTGACTTTTTTTTTTTTTTTTTTAAATTTCATGATGTGTTATTCTATGTTTGTGGAGATTTTTTTTGGAGGAAATACATGAAATTGGAAGTGGTAGAGATTGAGATTAAGAAAGTCAATTAACAAATTATAATACTCAAAGGAAAAACTCAATAAATACAAGTTCACTTCTACATACATTCATATATCCCTACTATATAAAAAGGAGAATGTGGAGACACTGTTGAAGTGAATAGTGTTTTAATCCTTTTATCTCGTTGTAGCATTTTTATTTTATTTTTTTTCAAGTGAGAGGAGCAAAAACGACACCGTTTGTCTTAGTATATATTTTATTATACAGTGTACCTCCAAATTGGCTACAACACGCAACTTTCCATACTTCCCACCAAGTCTCATCTCTTCATCCGTGCTCAATAAAAAAAATTAGCTCAATATATTTGGAAAATGTAAGGAATTTGTTATAAGTAAAAAATCTGCTTCAAGTTTTTTAAGTGTAATAAAAAAAATTCATTGTAGCTAGTTATTATATGTAAAAATATATTAGCTTTAATAATAATAATAATAATAAATCTCTCTCTAACTCTCCATGCACGGAGACTCAATAGTGAGTTGAGCTCTCCGTGAACGGAGGCAACAATCTCCATGCACGGAGAGGCAAAGCCTTCATGCATGGTGACTGAGGTGGGAAAGTTTAGACCACAGAAATGTTTGAATGCACGTGAGTTTCATGGCTTTCATTTGAATCTGTGTTTAGGTGGGGAAGTTTTGATCAACAGAAACCCGACAAGACAAGCTCTCATTCATGCCAGAAACTATATTAATTCTGCTACTAACATTTTGTTCAAGTCGCAGACATACTGAGGGGCTTGTAAATTTGCATTGGGGAATGAAACCTGGGCACGAATTTGAAATCTGAACTTGCTAACAGGTTGAGGTAGTCAGTAATCAAGCATCAATTGTTGCTCCAGAAACCATCAAGACCCTCTGTATTTTTGTTCCGCTTTGTCACAATTATCAAGTGAAGGCAGTAAAAAAATGCATTCGTAAGTTTACTCTTTTTGAAGTTTAGAAATCTTGGATTGTGTAAACCATGGATGCCCTTTTCCTAAGGTATTTAGACGTGAATATCTTTCAAATGCACCAACTGTTAATTATGGAATTTCAAGCTATGAATTGTTGGAATTTCAAGCAGTACACAAACGAAAATCGAATGGCAGCAACTAATAAATTTGCAAAAGGGATTCAATCATATCGTATATGCACTTTACATGTTAGATTTATACATATCGTATATGCAACATACCATATTCACAGTATACCGTATTTACATCATACCGTATATGTATCATATCGTATTTGCAACATACCATATTTACAGTATACCATATATGTATCATATTGTATTTACAGCACACAGTATTTACACATACCGTATATGCATGTAACCACAATTTGACGTGAAATTTTTGCAAAACTTCGAAAATAATATTGCTGTTTCAGTTTTTGTTTCAAACGGTAATTGCCAAAATAAATTCGTTTGCATGACTATCAACCTCGAAAATTCATGAAATTTTAGCGTAGAGTTGAAAACTCCTTATAATATGATATGTTCAAAAATCAACTCCCGTTGGCAGCATATAGGGTACTAAAATATTTTTTTAAACCTTGCAGCGACTTGGCTTAAAAGGTAACCTAGCACAGCTTATGTTAAGTGTCATATAAAATTCTACACACATCGAATTGATGTGATTTCAACTATACTCAGTAGAAAACCCTTGAGACTATCAAACCCAATTGATTTCGTCCAAAAATATCAAGTAACGAGTGATTTATGAATTTTTGAACCCAGGGTAGAAGCTGAAAAACAAAGACAGCACCCAGTGCAGTTTACTTTATGTGACATATAAAATTTTATTGATATTGATTGAAATGAATCCAAGTTTATTCAGTAAATAACTTATTAGGCCATCCAACGCCACTGGTTTTGTGTAAAAATGCCAAGTAACGAAAGAGTTATGAATTTTTAAAGACGAGGTAGAAACTGAAACTTTTGAGGAGACAACAAAACTTTAAATCGCTAACATTTTTTTTTTTTTTTTGTAAATGGTGATTTGTAAATTTATTTCTATGACACATACTACCTTCAAACATGGTTTATTCATAAGAAATATTCTTAGAATACTTTTAATATGACGTCCATAGAAATGAAATAAAATAAAAATAAACGTAAACATTCATAATTTACTTAAAATTTTCAAGTCACCGGCCTTCTCCACGGCATGCAGCATCTTCATCTACCATCATCCATGCCCCCAAGAAATTCAAATCAAACTGTAGAAAGAGAAAGAGAAGACGCAAAACGTTGGCAGTGGGATGGGGGCCTCTAATTGGACCTTCTGTAGAAAGGGAATTTAAACCATGAGTTTGAAACTCAATAGATATCATTGGTGCACTTCGTTTTCAAATTAAAAATTTCGAACTATAGATTCATACCGTCGCACATAGATAGATTTTTGGTAAAATCCAATTTTTGTAGCAATATAATAACACATAGAGTTGGAGAATGATTATTCAACTATTGTAGTGCCGAAGCACCATACCCGTAGGTACCATTTCATTTAAACATTTACGAAAATTTATAATTTGGAAATGAAATAACACTTGCACCTCTAACTACCTTCATTTGATGCTTTTGAATCGAAGAAGTTGGACGTAAATATGGCTTCCGAATGCAACCAATGCTAAAAAAACGAAATATGCCTGTCTTTTCTTTTCTTTTTCTTAATTTGGGAAATTTTTCTTCTTTACAAAGTGACAAAACACACAATGGGGAGGATATAAATGACTTGCTGGAAAGATGAATATGTGAATTCCACTTGGCCCTTGAAAAAAAAAAGTTGGAAGCCGTTTATTGAA